GAGGTAGTACCTGCACCTCAGATTGGTCTATGAGCAACTTAGGGTCTCACTATGCAGCTGAGGCCTCCCTGAAATTTACATAACCAAGCCTTGCCTTTGACTCAAGTGCTGAGACCACTAAGTTCATAGTGTTTGCATGTAACCTACATCTGACTTATACCTTAAATATTCTCTAAATAACTTATACCTAATATGATGCAAATGATAATGTCAACAGCTGTATTATTTAAGGAATAATAACAAGAGGAAGCCTATATACATTTTTAAATTTATTTCATTTTATCTTGTGGATATGTGGGTGGGTGTATATTTTCCAGTGTGTGTGTGTGTGTGTGTGTGTGTGCTTCTCAGAAGACCAAGTACTTGTGGTAGTTCTTGCCTTTCCCACGTGCATGGTGAAGAACAAACCCAGCTTGGTAGTAAGTGGTTTTACCCAATGAGCCATCTTTCTGACCCCTGGATGTTTCGAGATATTTGATTTGTATAAAGATGTGTCAATGTGGTTGGTTTAATAAAAAGCTAAATGGCCAATAGCTAGGCAGGGAGACTAGGTGGGACTTCCAGGCAAAGAGAGGAACTGGGGCTGAATCTAGGCATGCAGAGAACATGCCAGGAGGCACAGAACAAGTCGGAGGTACAGAACGAAAGGTAAAAAGTCTCAAGGCAAAATGTAGATTAATATACATGGGTTAAGTAATAAGAGCTAGTGAGACAAGCCTAAGCTAAGGCTGGGCTTTCATAGTAAGTCTCCATGTCATTATTTGGGAGCTCCGTACACTGGGAACCAGGAGGAATCTAGGCACTCAGGAGAAACAAGATGCTAGGAGACAGGATGGACAATACAGAGATGAGGTAAAAACCCAGGCTGGCAGGATAGAGAAAGACTCCGTACACCTGGATGCAGTATTTCATTCCAAGGTTAACGGACAAACCTATTGTCCTTATTTGACAAATGAGAAAGCAGGCAGTGATAGATTTACCTGTCCCATGTCATGGGTATTTAAGGATAGAGGTGATTGGGACTGACATCCATACAAACTGGGGCTGAATTATAGTCTTTAGGGAGTTATCTTTTGCCTGTTGCCACTTCAGAGAAGCAGCAGGTGGCAACTGAGCCTCGGGAGTCAGGCCCACCAGGAAGCAAGGCATTGATGGGTAAATCTTGGATAGGCAGGGCCAGAGAGCTTTGGCCTTACAGTGTTTCTTGTTATTTCTGTGCCTTTCCATGTTTGCTGCTGCCGTTTTTCTCTGGTGTCTCGCATGGTGTGAATGGGTGTGTGAAGGGGATCCCCACTGCCTTTAATGCAGTGTGATTATCTCATGGAAATATCCCATTCTACTGGGTATTTTTACCTGTGGATTATTATGATGATGATTTCCTCTTAAGCTATATTATTTAATTGAAACAATGATTTTATACAATAATAGTGTCAGCTTAAATAGAGTTTTGATGATTGAGGGTTTTTAATAAATATAGCAAGGGATTATAATAAAGGTTAGTGTAGCAGGAAAACTAATAAAGGCAGGCAAAGGTAGGATATAGTGTTGACACCCCCACCCCCTGCCAGCAGACCAGGGGCTAAAGAGGGTAGAACAAGAAAGTGTCATGCACCTAGGATGAGTTTCTCTTGAGGAGCCATATAGACTGTGGTTTACTTAGGTTAATAATTAAGAAAAATGGGGCTGGAGAGATGGCTTAGGGGTTAAGAGCACTGACTGTTCTAGAGATTCTGAGTTCAATTCCCAGCAACCACATGGTAGCTCACAACCATCTGTAATGTGAGCTGGTGCCCTCTTCTGGCAGGCACTGTATACATGATAAATAAATAAATCTTAAAAAAAAATAATTAAGAAAAATAATTGTGTCCAGAAGCGACGCTAACTCAAGTTCTTTTAATCTTAATGTTGGGAGATATGTTCACAAGTTTCAGTGTGCATTATAGCTAAAACAAAGCTTTAAATAATGACTTAAGGCTAGGGTAAGATGTTTTTAATGGCATTGAGATAGGAAATCTTGGGGAACAGTTTAAAATTTAGAAAGACATACTTAATAGTTAAGTGAGGGACTCGATGAGGTCAGGGAACAACAACAACAAAAAAAACCAAAAAAAAAAACAAAAAAAAAACACCCGATGGCAGCCTGGCTATTGCTACCTGACATACCTTTCTTTTTTCTTTTTTGTTTTTGTTTTTTTGAGACAGGGTTTCTCTGTAGCTTTGGAGCCTGTCCTGGAACTCTGTAGACCAGGCTGGCTTTGAACTCAGAGATCCACCTGCCTCTGCCGTCTAAGTGCTGGGATTAAAGGTGTGCACCACCATCGCCCGGCTTGACATACCTTTCTTGCTAGGATTGGTTGGTAATCAAAGGTGGTGATTAATTCCTTGTACCCATTTCTGCCCTCAGCTTCCTGATAGGATTTAATAAAAAACTGTTGATGAGTGGGTGTGCACCCTGAGAACTTAAAAGTAGAAATGACTAATGGTTTTTCATATATAAAAGTTTAGATGTGATTTTTTTTAAATAAAATTACCTTTTGAGACAAATAATAAAGTGATTGATTGGTTCCTTTGTAACTGCAAAATAAAGTCTTCAGTAAAAAACTGGCTGAGAAAATTATCTTGCTTGCTTATACTCTGTTAATCTGTAACAAGATGCTTGGATATGAGTGTATGTGCGTTCTTGGGAATAATTTGTTTTTTACCTATAATACATAAATGGGAACATGTTGGTTTTTATGTATACTTATTATAATCATTCACTTGAAAAATAGAATGCAACCACATTGTAATTTTTATATTGCTTGAAAGATTTTGCTGATATATATGAGCTGTAAGGGAAAATTAGAGATGATAGAAACCCTGAAGTGTGTGTGTGTTCTCTTTTTCTTGGACCCCAGAGAATTAAGTTTTGCCTCACTTGCCAGCCCCAGAGAATTAAGTTTTACTCCCTCAGACAGAAAAATCAAATGAGTGATTTTAGTCTGCCTACTCCATGGCTAACCATCAGTTCCTGAGCTGCTGAAGGATGGTCCTCAGAGCATCAGTCTTTCTTAAAGGATGGTGAAGAAAGAGTCCTTGATACCCTTTTAGGCAGGGAAGAGTTACAGTATTGCTGTGGGGGAGGGGACTCCACAGTTATGTATTTGGTAAATTACATAGCAGCCAGTATCTAAGAGATGGGTAAATTACATAGCAGCCAGTATCTAAGAGATCTCTGATTGCCTTAACTGGGCATTCTTAACTTATTTTCTGGCAGTAGCTATAGGCTATTTTTTTCCCTTCCCTTGTAATTCACAGTAAGGAACTAAGGGGCTAGGAAAGTGGCCCAGTAATTCACTTGCTGGGAAAGCATGAGAAACTGACTTGGGATCCAGAATACCCACATAAAAGCCAGCTGGGGTAGTAACCTCCTGGGGGAATGGAGACAGGGAATCCTGAAGGCTTGCTGGCTAGTCTAGCTGGAAGTGGTAAGCTCCAGGCTCAGTAAGAGATCTTGCTTAGAAACAAAACAAGATGGAGCATGGTAGAGCAAAATATCCTACCTTTGGCTTCCACATTTGCAAACACAGGCAAGTGCACCTACATATACATATTCATACACTCACGAAAAGAAACAATGGGAATAGCTGGGCAATGGTGGGCATGCCTTTAATCCCAGCTCTAGGGAGGCAGAGCTAAGTGCCAGCCTGGTCTACATAGCAAGTTCCAGGACAGCCAGGGCCATACAGAGAAACCCTGTCTCAAAAAAACAAATGGAAGAAACAATATGTACCCAGTACTTGCAAATGCAAACACACACAGAGAGCAGTGCCTTTATGTTATAAAATATACATGGTTATTTGCTTAAAACTAAAGTTTCCTAAAAGAGCGTGGCTTGAATGGATAACTTTTTTTTTTCTTTTTTTTTTTTGGTTTTTTGAGACAAGGTTTCTCTGTGTAGCTTTGGAGCCTATTCTGGAACTCACTCTGTAGACCCGGCTGGCCTTGAACTCACAGAGATCCACCTGCTTCTGCCTCCCGAGTGCTAGAACTAAAGGCGTGAGCCACCACTGCCCAGCTTGAATGGATAACTTTTTATATCATTTAATCCTCTAAAATGATTTCGTGATCACATCAATGTCTGCCAGACTAAAAACTATTTCAGGTGCTATGAGAAATAAGCCATTATGTACTTGAAGGGTAAAATTAAGTACCAGCAAAAAATGATTAGGGAAAATGACACCAGGCAGGACAATGCAGGTGACACAGGAGAATGATGAGAATAGAAGGGTCTTGCTAAATAGACCAGGCTGGCCCCCTGAGTAGCTGGGATGGCCTGTGCTACCAGGTGGGGCTGATCCCATTTTAAGGAAAGAATGTTGGTAGCATATGCAGGAAGTTGGTAGTAGGTAACCATAGAAGTTGGGATTAAAACTAAACAGAAATGTAGGATCTAAGTCCAGAGTAGTTTAATTATGACAAATGAGTAGCTTTGTGATGGTTTTAGGGAATGGCTGCCATAGATTCATGTATTTGAATGCTTGGCCCTATTAGTAGGTGGAGGAAGTGTGTTGTAATCTCTTCCTACTGCCTGTGGATCAAGATGTAGAACTCTCAGCAACTTCTACAGTACCCTGTCTGCCTGTGTGGCAACATATTTCCTACCACGATGATAAATAATGGACCTCAGAAACTGTAAGCCAGCCCCAATTGAATGTCTTTTCTTTGTAAGAGTTGCCTTGGCCATGGCGTATCCATAAATAGAAACCCAAACTGACAGATTCTTTATGAGAGTAAGCAAAAACTATTAAAGATATACAAAGAGTAGACAAACTAAGTAAGAAAGATGAGGTATGAAGCCTGGTGTGATGATGCATGTCTATAATCCGGGCACTCAGGAGCCTTGAAACCAGGAGAATCCTTTCAAATTTCTAGTTCACCTTAGTTTACTAGCAAGTTTCAGGTCAGCTCATGACACGAGTCTGTCTCTACGAACCAAGCAAACAACCCGAGAAAAAGAATTCATTTGGTAATAAATATTTAATTAAAGGATACTTGGGTGATAAGTGAAGCCAAACTCAAATATGGTTAAGCAGCGAGGGAAGAGGAGAAAGAAAAATTCAAATTTGTCCAGACCCTCCATCACCTAACCTTACTTATCTTGCCCCCAAAGCACGGGTAGGTGTCAGTCTGTTCGTGACCTTCGCGTAACCTTCGAGTGATTAAGCCCAGCCTTCTCTTAGACAGCAGTCTTTTCGTTCCAAGCTAACATTTGGTTGTTATGTCCTCTGCAGTGTCAGCGCCGGGTACCATTAACTGGGCCGGGCTTGTCTGCGTTGGCCGCTGCGGATGCTGCCGCTGCGTTTCTGGCCCGGATGTGGGAGGCCAAGGCAGTGAACATTTCCTGAGCGGTGAGGTTAGCGCTGCGCATAATCAGCCGATAGCCATCTCCTAAGAAGATGCAAAGCGACGAGTCAGAGACCCGGAGTCCGCAGCGCAGGGCTCCGCTGCCGCCCGCCCGCCCGCCGGCCCCCCAGCCAGGCCTACCGAATAACACGTCCACGCAGGGCTCGGAGCCGTCGTGCCTCACGTCGGCGACCACCGAACAGTTGAGGTTTGTGGCACGCACTTTCTCGCTGCTCACCGCCTGGAGAAACGTCCTACGGTGGGAGGGCAGCGTGAGCGCGCCCGGGGACCAAGGGGCGTGCACGAGGCAGGGAGGGCCGGTCCGAGCAGCTTGGCACTCCGGCAGGGGGTCGACCGTGAGCGAGCCCCCCATCCCCACCCCCAGAACACGAACCTTGTCGACTCCACGTTCTTCTCAAACGGGCAGAACTGAACTCGAACCAGCTTGACCGGCTTCAGTCCGACGCGAGCCAAAGCCGACGCCATGGTTACCTCTGCTCCGGAAGTAGTGCTGGGGATCGCTTTATTGGAACGGACCGCTTCCGGCGGCCTCTGCGCGACTTGTAGCGGCTGTCCTCCCGGGCCGCCAAGGGACCCAGAGTGGGCGGTCCGCAAATACTTCAGCAATTAGCCATACCCTGTGCCACACACAGCGTAGACGGTGAATGTGCAAAAACCCCTTTTGCACGAAAACACGTCTCCTGCAGCTTTCCCGCTTCAGTGTCCTGCCGGCTAGATCTAGGTCAGCACCATCCTAAATCCTGGCTCCTTCCAATGAGGATTGTCCGCCCACCAGGAAGCAAGCCCACCCTGGCAGCTGAACGGCCAACGCTTAATGTTGTCAAGGTCCTACAGCCTAATGACTAAAAATAAAGACGGGGAAGCCTTGTTCCTGGGATTCAAGAGAAAGCATGTAGCTTGCTTCTGTCTCCTGAGAATCAACCCTGTAGACTAGCTATTTCTAGCTCTTGTCTCCACTGTTGCCAACTTTCAGATTTCGGGCTCTGGTTTGCCCCTTACTCTGGATTGCAGGTACTAGGGTGATCGTGGATTCAATTCCAGACGGTGTAGTTTATGTACGTGTTCTTCCAAGCTCCCCGTTTTAAGCCTAACATACAGTTCCTTGACTGGGGCTTAACAGACCATGATTTGCAACTCCTGATCCTAGGCAACTTAGGGCTCAGGACTTGTCCCCAGGCAGGAAAGAAAGGGCAGGTGCCAACGAGGGTGCTGGTGCAGCCTCAGGGCAAGCCAGGCCTGCTGGTTTCCAGCCAGGTAAGCTTCAGGACTAGGTCCTCCTCCTCCTCCTCTTCCTGCTCCTCCTCCTCCTGCTGCTCCTTCTGTTCCTCCTCCTCCTTCCAGAGTGCTTAGCAGGAGCATGTTCTGGGCTGGGGAGAGTCCAGGCCGGAGAGGGGGAGCCAAGCTTTCCAGGCTGTTGAGGCTGCTGGTGGGCAGTTCAGTGGTCTGGACTTCATTACAAAAACCTGGAAAGGCAGAAGTGGAAGGCAGGTTGGTGGGTGATGCTGAAAGTCAGTGGTGAGATGGGAGTCTCTTAAAGCAGTGATGGAGGGACTTGGGTAAACCTGGGGTTGGAGAGGGGTAATGACTCACAGCAACAGGGAGGCCTTCTGTGGACTGGACTCTTGGGCAGGGGCTGCTGCAGGAGACACAGCAGGGCCCCATCTAGCCGCTGGAAGATGCTGAGTGACAGCAGAGTCTGACGAAGCTCCCGGGACAGGCCCCACTGCTCCTGTTCCAGGACCTCCCTGACCACTCCGAAGTCTTGTTTGAGCTGCAGCGCCCCCTGCAGGCTAGATGTCCAGGTACAATGTGGCCACCTGACATTTCTGCCTCCCCACACTGCTCTACCCAAAAGTTCTCCATTTTTCCCTGTTGACATTCTCCCGCTGCCACGACCATCTTTCCTTCCCACCTGAACCGGATCCCATGGGTGAGGATGTGATCAAGCCAGGCACCCAGTATGGCTGTTAGTGCCTGGCTGAGGGCGGGGGCTTGGGCTTCGGGTGACAATCCCTGCAGTCCTCGCAGCACGGGCTCCAACACAGTGTAGACCACCATCCCTGCATACTCGCTAGGAGCACTGGGATGTTCTGGGGTGACAGAAGAGAAAGGAAAGACTGTGAGACTATGGAAATCCAATGGGCACCAGAGAGAAGGGCACAGAAGGTGCAAGGATGGTGACCAATGGGGAGGGCTTGAACCAGTCACACACTGGGAACCCCTGGAAGGAGAAGATGGGCATGGGAAGTTACGGAGACGGTGGGCTGGTGGGGTGGGGGGGGGTGTGTAGTTCAGTCAGTAAGGCTTGCTTGCCTAGCATGTGTGAAATCCCGGGTTTCATCCCCAGCACTACAGAAAGAAAAATTACCGGGACTTAGTCGAAGCCGCCAGTATCGACCCTTTGGCATGTGGAGCTTGAAGCCCTGTGTGGCTTGTTTATGGCATTCTTGGAAAAAGAGACTCAGCGACTCTTCAGGCAGGAGCTGTATAAAGAAGAGGAAATTGAGAAGGGCTCGACTGTTAGACTGATAAGATGGTGCCTCTCCCATCTGAGGCCTCAATGTGGCGTCTGTAAAACCCTGAATCCATGCATCACTGTGGGAGCCTGGGCATTTTCTAAGGAGAAGTGTCACCCCTTTAACTGAGTTTTCCAGGTCTGGACTCAAACTCTGCACAATACATAGGATTACCAGTTCTTGGTAGTCAAAGGCACATGACAAGTCAGGCGTGTTGAGCATGTGCCTGTGTGGATATTCCTTTACACTGTGTGAATATATGTCACAAACCCACTGTGATTGCTTTAACAAAGCAAAGGAACTGCATGAAAACTCTGTGGCCACACAGAGAGAAAATGAAAAGAACCTCATATCCTATATATTCCACAGTAGGAAGCAATAGTGTGCAAAGTGAGACAGAATTAAGACAGAATAGCTTCATCAGTAAATATAGAAGGAAATCATATACAATAAGAGAGACTGATGGCATAGCTTGCTGGCACTGGAGCTTACCTAGCACACATGAAACCCAGGCATAATCTAGAGAGAGGGGAGAAGAAACAGCTAACCACAGATGGAAGGTGGAATTGTTCTCATTAGAGGCCTTAAAAAAATATTGTGTGTGTGTGTGTGTGTGTGTGTGTGTGTGTTGGTATGCTTACATATATAGAAAACAACTCTCTACCCCACATGGGTCCTGGAGATCAAATTCAGGTTGTCAGACTTGGCAGCAAGAACCTTTAACTAATGGACCATTTTGCTGCTTCCTTTCCCATTCATAATTGCAAAGAAAGGCTTGATGCAAACGGTCAGCAAATGCTTTACTGCCTAGCTACAGCCCCAGTTTACAGTTCACTTTTTTTTCCCCCTGAGACAGCCTTAGCTGTCCTGGAACTCACTCTGTTGACCAGGCTGGACTCAAACTCAGAGATCTGCCTGCCTCTGCCTCCTAAGTGCTGGGATCAAAGGCTTTTGTCACTATTGTCCATCTACATTTCACTTTTTAAACTGTAGACATGTACTACTTCAATAAAACTATAAAGAAGCAGAGGCAGGCCGGGAGTTGGTGGTACACACCTTTAATTCCAGCACTCAGGAGACAGAGGCGGGCGGATCTCTGTGAGTTTGAGGCCAGCCTGGTCTCCAGAGTGAGGGCAAGGATAGGCTCCAAAGCTACATAGAGAAACCCTGTCTCAAAAAAAAAAAAAAAAAGAAGAAGAAGCAGCAGCAGCAGAGGCAGGCAAATTAAGTTTAAGGTTAGCCTTGTCTACATATTGAGTTCCAGGCCAACCAGAATGACATAGTGAGACCCTGTCTCAACAAAACACACACACACACACACACACACACACACACACACACACACACACCTTAAAGAGAGACTCACTGAACTGAACACTAGTAGGAAATGTGGAAGATGTAATTATGGAATGCCACTTTTTACAGTTGCTAATGAAATAAGCCTAAGCAATAATGTCAGTGGCTACCGCTATTAGCAGGTGGTAAGGGGGTGTGAATCATAACTGACCATGAATTGATTACTGTTATGACCATATTTGACATTTTTCCACAGTAAAGACTAAGGCAGAACAAGAAACCAACAAAGAAAAACATGAATTTAGTGGAGACTCCAAGGAGATTGCAAGGTACAGAGGTTCTACTCTGTTCATCCCCACCCTGCTCCCTAGTTGGCACACATACACTGCCACTATCAGGGGCTCAGCTCTCACCTGCATCTGTGCACTCATCAGCACCTGTGCTCTCTCCTGGATCTGTGCACTAATCTGCACCTGTGCTCTCACCTGCACCTGTGCTCTCACCTGGATCTGTACACTCATTAGCACCTGTGCTGTCACCTGCATCTGTGCTCTCACCTGCATCTTTGCAGTCAGCTTCTGGATCTCGAGGCCCAGCTGTTGTTCCATATCCAGGGTTAAGTTTGCCTCTGAGGCCAGGCTGGACAGATCTTCCACTGCACGCAGTAGAGGCTTTAGGTAGAAACAGAGAGTGAGGGCTCGGTTCAGGCCAGGCTGCTCCCTTCCCTGCTCCCAGGCTACTCACAGGCAAATACTTTTGGATCAGGAGCAGGAAGGAGCTGGGAGCCCATGCTGCCAGGTGCTGCTGAACTCTGCCCAAGAACCAGAGCAAGGTGGTCTGCAGGGTACAGAGCCCCAGAGCGACAGGTGCAGGGCCTGGGGGGGGTGGGGGGACAGAGTATCCTATGGTCTGTGGGCCACCTTCAGGAGAAGGCCAGCTTCAGAACAGAGGAAAGGAAAAGATATCAACTGCTCTGCCCTCTATCCCATCCACACCTGTCTCACCTGGAGGCAGACACAGGCTAAGTTCTGCCCTCGGCTCTCGAAGGGTGTCCAAGAGTGGAGGAAAAAGCCCCTGCAACAGCTCAGCAGTAGGAGCTAGTGAAGCAGGGCCGCTCTGACCCACCAGGGATGATCCCAAGGCCTGGCAGAACCCTGGAATGACAAAATACAGTCTGAAGCCGGGAGCAGCCTGACCTTTGGGCCACCCTCAAAGTCCCTTTCTCCTTACCTTGGTCCCAGTTGCAGATAAGAGACCGATGAAGTAGGCTGCCACACAAAGCCAAGAGCTCCTTCTCACACTCTTGAGGCAGGGATGCTAATGGGAGAGATGACGAGAGCCTGAAAACAAACCCTCCCTGTTTACAGACCCTGCCCACTTCATATGTCCTCTACCACTCACATCAAGGGTGGACAGTCAGGCACAGTGGCTCCCAGCCCGTGGGGAGCTGAGGCAGGAAGGAGTTCGAGGCTAGTATGGACTACATAAAAATCTACCTCAAAACAAAACAAAGACGGGTGTGGAAAGCAAGGTGGGCCTGGGAAACCTTAACCGATACATTAAACTCAGAGAAGTTCATTCTAAAGGACCTGCTCTTGGTGACAGGCTAGAGGTGAGTGAGCCGAGCAGGGTAGGCAGAAAGATACCCTCACCACAACCCCCAAATGCCGGCTTGGATCCCTCACTCACCTTGACACAGTGCCCGACTCAGCTGTTGTGCCACTGCTCTGAGGTCTCCCCAGGGTCCCACGCTTAGGTCCAGACTCTGAGCACAGGCTCCCCACAGCAAAGTCCAATACTGGCTCCACAGGGCTCCAGGCCCTCCAAGTCTCAGTCCACTGCTGTCGGTGCTAGCCACGCCCCCTATTAGACCCAGCAGCCCCGGCAGCAGCTCTCGCTCCTCGTCGCAGTGCCGACGGAGTTGGTCTTGCAAGCCCGGTCCGCCGAGGGCCTCAGCCAGCCTATGTGCCACCCGACAACCCCGCTCTGCAGCCAGGAGGTGGAGCACACGGGCCGCAGGGAAGGGGCGCGCGGCCCCAGGGACGCAGCTCCCTGCTTGTCCCTGTAGCTTGTGGTAGAAGGGAAGGGCCAGTAATAGTTCGGCTAGCTGGGACGTGAGGCCCAGGCTGGAGGGGT